GTGGCACGGCTCGGGGTGGCACGGCTCCGGTCTGGGAACAGCAGGCCATAAATCGGGCCGATGTATTTTGGGTAACTCACATCGAGAGTTATGCCTGAGGAAACAGGGATAGGAACAGCTTTGAAGTAGAACTCTTGGGTGTTGTTTCTTTTCCCCTCAAAATTGGTACGTTAAATAGTGACGTGGTTAACTGGTGAATTGAGAGTTTGTGAACACTGCTGTTCAGTTAAGGCTTTTACCTCCACAGCAAGAATGCTGGACGTGGATTAAATAGTTATCTGTGATACCATGTAACATGCTTGCCAAATTTGGCTACATATCAAGCATTAAGGCAACATATATTTTAACAAAGCCATTAAAATACAAAAAAAAATAATAATAATACTGATGTTGTCCCTTGTGATGCTTAGCAAAGCATCCACTGAGAAGTAAAATAATCTATAGTCAATATATCCCCAGGATCCTTTGATCAAGCCTGGTGTAATGTACCTGTTCAATACAAAGGTAAGTATGCAGTAAAGCCTCTACTGGTGAGCGTGTGGATTAAAGTAGTATGAGTGATTGGTAGCTGGTGGGATGGAGAGAGCTCAGTTAGAAATTGACTGGATAAATCAAACCTAGAAGTGTGGACATATTAAATAGTTAATGGTTAACAAAAAAGATTTACCTGAACAGTTAACCAGGTGCGGTAACTTGTGCTCTACTTGAAGTCATGCAGCACATTTACACCAAGGAACTGGTTATAAAACACTGAATCTTGGGTTTTCCTGTCAACAGAAACATGAATGAATGACTTCAGGAAAAGGATTATGCAAATGTCCCAATGAATGTTCTTAATAAAACATTCCAGTATGTGCTTTTCTCTTGACTGGTCTGAAGTCACACGTGTGTGTGTCCCAGGTTTGGGGTATCCCAGATGGCCATGAGAATATAAGGGAAAAAATAAACTTGTACTGTGTATGAAATCTTTCTGCATTTTTTTTCTGAACAGAACAACATAGGTAAAACACAAGTACTTCTTATTTAAGCAGGGAAATAGATGAAAGCAGGGAAAACAGTAAGAAGTAGAAAAAATCCTGAAATGTACATAATTGGACAAGTATGTCCAAGAACTGCTTGATACACAGTACTCCAATCCAGCATATGTCCAAGAGAAAAGCTGTGCTGTATTGCATATGCATGTTTAGGGAACCAGCAGATCAAGATGTTGTAGCTCCCTTGATTTTGTTATCAGGATGTATTCAGATGTTGCCTCTCATTCTCCTCAGTATTAGAGCTGTGCAGAGCCAATGGTGAAACTAGGATAAGCTGGTAGTATATACTGTTTAGCATATGGTGGCTCTCCTTTGCTACCTGTCTAGTACTTTCTCTTCATGGGACAGCAACACTGTGGATAAAGTTCTTCTAACACAAGAGCTTGTAGATCTACTAGCATAGTTAAATATTTGCAGTGGTTAAAGTTGTTACTTTTCCATACAGAAGAGAACAAGGCCTGCAGTGGGTTTAGGGTTATCATAGTTCTGAAGTATTCCTAGCATGAGCTACATACAATATTAAAGGTGTATACTGTATAGTTCAGTAGAAATATTGTTTGTTTTGGAATAACATTATCCATAATGAAGGTGATAAACAGATCCAAAGTTCTGCTTGTTCTGCTTTTGGTATTTCCCTCATCTTTCTCATACCTTTGAAAGCTCACTTTTCACTGGAATGCTGACCTGAAGGGATAAATCCTATGTGTCCTGTGCTGGGACTATGATTAAAAAACAAACCAAAAAACACTCAAACAGAAAACCTACACAGAACGCAACAACGAAGCACCCAACAGTCCCTCTTTCCCCACTCCTGAGTAAATTATGCTGAAGATCTCTGACTGCTACTGAGAGAGAACATCAATACTACAGTTACCTATCCAGTACTGAAGGACAGAAAGAGTCCTGGCAGAAGTTTAGAGAGTAACTCCTTACTTCATTTATTGCAAAGATTTGAATTAAGGTCTTCAAAGGGGTTGTGCCAGTAGAACAGCTTCATGGGAAGGGTCTCCTGGGTTCTGATAAAGCCATGTTCTGCTGCAAGTTATTTGATCCAGTAAATCTTAACGCTTGGGTTTTTTGTGTGCTTAGGGTGAATATTTTGACCAGTCGCATGTTGCTCTACCAAATGTTTCCAAGTTCTTCTTGCATCAAGCTCTGGAAGAGAGAAAAGCCGCAGAGGCTTTGATGAAGTATCAGCAAGAAAGAGGAGGCCATTACTGTTCTAAAACTATCCAGGTGCGTAGTAGACAACAAGCTTTCAAGAAGTTGCAATCCACAGTAATTACTCTTAACTTCTTGCATAATATTGTTGGTACTTCAGATCTCTACATTCATCCACTGTTAGATTTCCAAATACAATTTCCCTGCCATATTAGGATACATTGTTTTGTTCTTGACTGTGATGTCTAGAAACTGTCAGACACACATTCCTAACTCCACATGGTTGCTTTCTATCCTGAAATACTCTGAACAATGGTCCCTTTTTCTTTCACTTGGCTGAAGTCTGCTCTTTCCAGTATGTTGTCATGGATTATGAGACTCCTTAAAATGTGTTTCAACAGTCCACCTGTCTCCCTCATACTGAAGCTAAATAGAAGCCTATAAGCCATTGGCACCTAAGAAAGGTAGTAAGGAAGGAGGCAGGAGAAACATCCACCTTGGGGTAGTAGTTGATCTGTAGCACAGCTCAAGATAGAATCTGAAACTAAGTAACTGACTCAGGCTCTCACAGGTGCAAAGGAATAACTCAAAGTTATCAGGGAAAAAAAACCTTGTTGAGGACCAAGGGGGTGATTCTCCTTTACCAAATAAGTATTCTGTAAATAGCTTATAAGAATGCTGCTCTTTGGCCTCTCATAGCTGTTATTAAGCTGTAGAAAGTAAAAAGGCCACATTGAAAAACATTCTAAATATTTCATTTGAATCAGGGAAGACCTTAAAGCAGCTTTCGAGTACTTCAAGGGGGTCTACAAGGAAGATACGGAGCGACTTTATGAGTGAGTCTAGTGATCAGAGGTGTCCCTGCCCATGGGACGAGGGGGGTGGTACTAGATGATCTTGAAGGTCCCTTCCAACTCAAACCATTCTATGATAGGGTTCCCCCTTGTGAGACTATTCTTCAAGCATAGCTGCTGCTATTTAAATTTCTGTTTCTTGAAAAAGATCTTGGGTTCTGCTACTTCTGTATGTTTACAATCATCCAACTGCAAAAAATGACAGATGTTTCAAAACAGGAGCTGTTGCAAAATCCTACACACCTTGTTTAGAGCACCAGGTAAGTTCCAGGAAACCATCGATGAATACATTAGAATGAGCTGCTGTTCTGAATAAATGTAATTCTGTCTGTTTTTAGAAACCAAACTGTGACTATGCAGTCGGTCTGATGAAAGCCCTGGAATTAGCAATGGTACAGTGGAAAACTATGATACGATATTTTGAAGAGCTTTATGCCCTGAGTATTGAAAATGCAGACCCTCATAGCGCAAGCACTATCAAGAAACAATTTATCGGGCCCAAAATCCAGAAGATCAAGCTGATGGGAGATCTACTGACCAACGCTCGCAGGCTTGACTGTTCCCAAGATGGCAGAAACAGTCTTGGGGATTACTTTATGGACCGGTTGCAGAAAGAGTTCAGAACAGGAATAGAGCTAGAGTCTAGTCAGCACTGCAGCCCCTGCCTGCCTCTCCAGCAGTGCACAAGAGCTGCAGAGGGTATGAAGCCAACCCAGAGAGAATCTTTCCAGCACAGAAATGGCATAGGGCCCATCTATGCAACCATACACTGCACCACCACACTGCCACACTGCCATGACTGGACAGGAGCAAAAGTGAAGCAGGGCAGGGAGGGATTTTAATGCTGTGGCTGCTGCAGCTATGGGGCTGCTCCTAAGGCAGACCTGTACAGAGGGCAGCCTTGAGACCAAAACTCAGGATATATGATGCTCTATTGCTCCTCCTGCTTTACACCCTGCCCCCTCATCCTCTGGTGAGTAACAGCTCAAAATCTAGCTCATACCATTATTTTGTTTAAATTATAGCAAGATTGCTAGTTACTGAGGCTGTTGGCATTAGTCACACTTTCATCTACGCAATGCTTCCTAGAAGTCAAAAGCTTTTAAGCCTCTTTTGTCTCAACGAGTAGTCAGTGCAAATTATTTTTAACAGTATATACTAACTTTCATTAAAAACAAAATGCAACTTTAGTACAAGGGAATTTTTATGTGGCAAGAAATCCAGAGACTTAGTTTTCTATTATTAGATATTTTATATTACTATCAGATATTTTACATTACTAACAATTATACTAACATAATGAACTTTTTTTAATACTTATTTTGAAACAAAGTTTTCATATCTTATTGCTGTCAGAGTAGCAATTTAAATAAGTAGTCTAAATCATAGACTTGCCACCCTGCTATTTCTAGGGGTATACCTCTCCAGGATGAAGGATGCAAACATTCCCTCAACTGTAGGAATAAGACAATGTACTGGTTTTCTCTACAGTTACTTGCCTAGCTGGATTTTCTCATCCTCAGAAACCAGAAGGGAGATAAATGAGGGGTTCTCATTACATGTGATCTTTATAGGTTCTAGTGCATATTTTGCAAGTGTCACTGAAGGCACTAGCTCTAGAGCTCTGACCAGACTACAGTGGTTGCTTCAATTACAATACAGACTCCTATTTCAACTGGCTAAATCGTGGTATTACTATGGCACTACCACTATTTCTTGTATGCACTATCTTGGTCCTCAGTAGAGAAATACGATCCTAGTGAAAAGGCACAACAAGTAACTAGAACAGCATCATAAAGAGTGACCACTCATTAGTTTTGCACTTCAGTTAGGGCAGTGTTCAATTAGGGGGACTGTTAGCACCAGAAGACCTAAGGCCTTTACTTTAGCCAGTTTGGTTTAAGTTCAAAGGTGTCCAGATTCTTTCCATTCATGTCCTACAGGAGTGCCTCTCTTTCTGTACATTGGCTACTCAGGCTATCTAAGAATAGCAACTGGATAGATCAACTCCCTGCAGCTAGGGGTTTTTTTGTCATTAAATACAGCATCTTCTATGTGATTGGGGTCTGCTTCATTGAAAGATTGTCTTACACTTTTTATGCCATGTTGTCATACTCCTATTATGCTTGAAAATAAATTAAGTTCAAGGTTAAAAATGGCACTTTGCATCTACATTGTATTCTTCAATTTACTACACAGGCATGCTAGTATTCTTCTCCAAGATAATTTGCATAGGTAGACAAACCTGCACAAGTACTTTTCTACTACTAGGTTACACAAGATGGAAGAGTAGACCACAGAATGAAAATAAATTCCAGAAAACTGCATTAAGATAAGAAGACTTCACAATTAAACATTTTCAGTAACCTCTTTTATACACAGCTGCAGTTAAGTGGCCATTTCTACAAAACTGCATTAGCCCACATACTTTCTGTTGGTGTTGTAACACAGGACAACTACAATGCTGATGCTTTCCCAATGTTTCTGTTAACATGATTATACTTCGGTGGTGGGGTCACTTTAAAACAACTCTTGTGTTAATCTCTAAGAATTCTGCAGTGTGCCACGAGAACAGGTTGAAGCACTTTTAGCAACATACTAGATTTGCCTGTATTGAGGTGGCTGCTCTCTAATACAGCAGTAGTTTAAAAGATATTTCCATCTGGACTACATTCCATCAACCATCTTCATGCTGAGCATACCTTATTCAACAATTAGTTCCACTGACTGCAACTCAACATGAGTAAAAGAAATGGCATCCATCCCTTTCCCTTTTAAAATATATCTCACTAAGTATGAACAGAGCAAACCTACTATATGAATTATGAACTAGTGCTATATAAAACCACTTCAAATACTACTGGTAATGCTTTACCTACTCACAAGCCTTCTCCTTTAAGAGTTGGTAAACTTGTGAAATGTAGGTAAAGCCTCTTCCATGGTTTCCAGCACTTAAGACTCTTTTACCTTAAAGGAATTCCAAAATAAAGAGGCTAACATTTAAATTTTTCAAAGCCAGGAGTTACTTGCCTTTTTTTCTCTGAAATATTGCCATATCCATTTCTCAGAGACTCTACTCATATTCATCTTTGTAGCTGAATGTATCCACACCTTCTCAGACTGTAGGTCTTTCTCCCTTTTCCAAAATACATTCTGGGCCCCTAGGCCCTATCCTCTGAAAAAGAAGAGAGTAATCAGACAGTTACTGTAGATGACAAGCTCATCTTGTCCACATGCTGCTTCTGTGGAGAGGGCACATAGGCTTGTTAATATGATACCAAACTTTGTTAACAATACCTGTCTATTGTGTATAGGATGAGTCTGTCCGTGCTTCTCAGCATAGAAAGTACAATCTACCTTTGTCCTCTCAGCTTCCTTTTCAATCACACCCTGAAAAAAAGGAGATGAAGGATGAATATGGAAGAGGTGTAAGGGCAACAACACTTAGGCAACAACAAAGCCTTTCTCTGCTGATTGCTTGTTGATACACACACTCTGTATTTCCAAAGCAATGCGCAAACCATCCCAATACACAATCTGGGGCAGCTCAGAATAGCTATAGCAGTGCCAGTACCCTAAATACAGCATCCAAACTGGAAGTTCTGAAATTATAATTTACAGCCACAGGGGCTTCCAAACAGGTATTGCCAATGGCATACTTCTAAACGTTTGCCATAAGCACTACAGCTATGGTTACATGGAAAATGAGGATTTCACTCTAAGTCTCTAGGTGGAGATCATGCTGTCCTTAATCCTCTCCACTACAGCCACAAAGCCAAGAAAAGCACTACAGGATTTCTTCATTCCAGGACTTTTTTTTTTTTTCCCAGGCCCTACCACACAAGGCAACTTCTGGGCAAACCCATCTTTGGGAATGATATTGGAAAGCGAATGTTAGTTCTGGTGGCAGGAAGGAGGGAGAGAATCCTCAAGGGCATTTCACTGGAAGACTGCTCTGAGCAGAATCCACCATCTGGTCAGGGCAGCCTCCAATTCATGCACTTCAGCATGTTGATGAGCAATTACTGGCAGTCTCCTCGTATTGCTTGTCCCAAGTCCCACCACTTGTTACCACTTTGCCCAGGGTAACCACTGTGTGCACAAGTCCCAGGGTCCCTTATCTTGGGTCAAATATAACATGGAAACACACAGTGGCAGAACACACTACATCACTGGCTAAATACTGGGTAAAAATGCCTTTTCCACAAGTGAAACCAGTGGTCTGGAGAGAGCTTAAGGGTCTTGAGTGGATCATGCAGCCAGCACCATGCCTTGATACCCCAGTTTATATGCTCAGTTTTTACAGCATACAACTACTTTTCATTTATGCTTATTATGCATTACTGTATACCTCACACTATATGAATACAAATTATTTTTACTTTTTAAACTGTTCAGTAAAGATTAAAAAAATCTGTTCATTCCTTCTGGATCAAAGAACCTCTGTCATAACAGGGAAACGTTTCCACAAGTTTGCTACATTGTCTCTCAGAAACAGTTCGGATATAGGCTTCTAAAAGTGAAAGGCTGGTCACTAGTTGATTTCCTCGGCACATATCACTTTTCACCACTGGATAAAGCGAGAGAACAAAACTGTACAGAGTCTAAAATATACACTTTTTTGTTTAAAAAGAATTTCATCTTTTAGAGATAATGACAGAATGTGACTAACCGTTCTTATCTTTTTACTCAGACATTTCAGTTGTAGAAAATGAGGACTGCAGATTAGGAATTTTTGCAAAAATCAAATTTAACAACAAAAGAAACCACCATCACTGTAGCCCCCCTGATAAGTCCTAGGCACAGGGACTGGGGACTGCTAGATCACTGATGGATGCTTTTTACCTTTTCAAATTCTCTCAGTCAGCCCCACTGAAAACAGAGCTTTGCCTTTGAGTGAGTTGGAATTCCATTCACATTTAAAATTTCAGAATGGAGATTAATTTTAGTTTGTGGTACATTAAAAATATCCACAACTATTTTAATAATTAAGTCAATAAAATCACACCGATTAATTAATCAAGTACTTTGATATCGGAAAGAAAATCCACATTTCTCATCTCAAATTATATTACAAAAACACAGTAAAAACTCTAGGGCCCTTGAGATGTTACCAAAACCCATCCAGTTTCTCCAAGGCATAGACTCTGTCACTGCTAGTTACCTGAAATAAGAAATTCATATTGCACAACTATTCTTATTGCTGTGACCACACTGGCAGCAAAATGCCACTCCATGAGGGAAGTCAATCTCTTCAGAGACTTCAGAATAAAAGTGAACAGAGGCCTGAGTGGAAAGAGGAGCCTGAAACGCAAACTCAGACATCACAGCTCATGTGCAAAGAGCCGTTTGCTGAAGGGGTATCTGAACAGAACTCAGGCCTCAGCTCTCCTCCAGGACATCGTTCCTAAAAACCATCGCTGGGTTGTGCCTGTGGAGTCATAAACACTTCCTGCCATGAGCACGGCTGCAGCCTGCCCTGGCACTGGCCAGCTCCAACACCTCAGCCCTTTTTTTTGCTCTTAAGTCACATAGTTTCAGTGACTGTGCTTGAGTCTTGATCAACGTTTCCCACCCTCGGTACGAATCCCTGAACCGTACCTGGCTCAGCCGTGGGCAGGGACACCCTCGTTCCCGGGGGGAAAGGCTGACACCCTTCCGCAGGCCTCACACACACCCGCTTCATCTGCGGGGAAGTAAGTCCTCGTCCCCCGGT